GTACCCACCAGATGCCAGCCAGAGCTCTCCTGTATGAAGGGTCTGTCGGCCCCTACTGGGAGGTGTCTCCCAGTCAGGATACATGGGAGCCAGGGATCCACTTGAGGAGGTAGTCTTTCCCTTATCAGAACTCAAATGCTATGCTGGGAGATTTGCTGCTCTCTTCAGAGCTGCCAGGAAGGGACATTGAAGTCTGCATAAGCTATGTTTACCACCACCCCTCATCCCAGGTGCTCAGTCCTAGGAGGGTGGGGGCTTTATTTTTAAGTCCCTGACAGGTTGCTGCCTTCTTTCAGAGATGCCCTGCCCAGCAAGGAGGGAATCTAGTGAGACAGTCTGCCTGCAGCGACCTTGCTGAGCAGTGGTGGGCTCTGCCCAGTTTGACCTTCCCAGCATCTTTGTTCATACTGTAAAGTTAAAACCTCCTACTTGAGCCTCAGCAATGGCAGATGTCTATCCCTCCACCAAGCTCGTATCCCAGGTTGAGCTCAGACTACTCTGCTAGCTGCAAAAATTTCAGCCAGTGGCTCTTAGCTTGCTGGTCCCCATAGGGATGGGACCCACTGAGCCAGACCACTTGGCTCCCTGGCTTTAGCCCCCTAAGCCCCCTATCCAGAGGAGTGAGCATTTCTGTCTCACTGGTGTTCCAGGTACCATTGGGGTATGAAAAAAAGAACTGTTGCAGCTAGCTTGGCATCTGCCCAAATGGTCATACAGTTTTGTGCTGAAAACCCAGAGCCCTGGTAGTGATGTAAATACTGGAGGGAATCTCCTCATGTGCAGATTGCAAAGACCAATGGAAGAGTGTGGTATATGGACTAGAGTACAGGGAACAGACCCTAATGGCTTCCCTTGGCTAGGAGAGGTGGTTCCCCAATTCCTTGCACTTACCAGGTGAGGCAACACCCCACCCTGCTTTGCCTCACCCTCCTTGGACTGCACTCACTGGCAAACCAGTCCCAATGAGATGAACTAGGTACCTCAGTTGGATATGCAGAAATCACTCACTTTCTGCATCAGTTTTGCTGGGAGCTGCACACCGGAGCTGTTCCTATTTGGCCATCTTGCCAGCAATCCCCCACCATTTTTTTAAATAAGTGTTTCCATTGTAAACGTTTCCCACATTTCCCATCATTTTACTCTGTATTTAAAGTGGATTTGTTGTAGGCACCATATAGTTGGGTCTTGCTTTTAATTCATTCAGGCGATCTTTGCCCATAATTGGAGCGTTTCAATCATTTACATTAATATGCTTATCCATGTGATTGGGTTTAAGCCAAACATTTTTCAATTTGTTTTTCTATTTTTCCCTGAACTGTTTTTGTTTTTGTCTTTTTGCTTTTTCTCTGCCTTCTTTTCAGGGAAAGATTGTGTATCTTTTAATGATTCTATTTTATCTTCTTTATTTTAGATATACTTCTTTTAGTTTTTTTTTATTTGTTTGTTTGTTCGTTCTCAGCCTTACAGTATATCTCTTTGAGTTATCAAATAAGTAGATCAACAAATGGAATTATACCACCTTTCATATATTTTAATAACTTTACAACAGCATATTCCTGTTTTTTTGCACTATTTTTATAAATTTACTTCTATGCATTATAAACCCCACAATACATTGTTACTAATTTTGCTTTAGTCAATTATCCTTTAAAAAAATGAGAAAAGTCTTTAATATTAATTTTCATATTTAAAATTTTTGGTGTTCTTCATTATATAGTAGAGATCCTATATTTCCATCTCGAATCATTTTTTTCTGAGACCTTCCTTATTATTTATGTAATGCATTTATGTGAGTGAAGAATTCCTTCGGTTTTTCTTTTTTTTGCAAAATTTTTTTTCTACCCCTTGAAAGATGTATTTGCTGGGTATAGAATTTTAGTTTGGCAATATTTTTATTTCTTACTGTAAAGATGCCACTCCATTATCTTTTGGTTTGTGTAGTTTCATTTAATTTTTTTAAATGATTTTATCTTTTTTTTTAATTTTTACAGTGTAAGAAATATGGTTTTTTTCTCTGTCAGATTTTAACATTTTCTCTTTATTATTAGTTGTTTTCAGCACTCTGATTATGATGACTTTTTATTTTTCTTCATTCTTATTCTGCTTGGGATCTTTAAATTTCTATTATCTGCACGCTTGTTACTGTCTTCAAATTTTATCATTTCGCTAAATTGGCTCTTTTTCTCATCATTTTTTCAAATATGTTGTCTGTTGTTTTTCTTTTCTGAATCTTCAATTATGGAATTTTGTTTTTTAAAGTTTTAAAATCTCATTTTATTTTATCAATTTCTATCATTTCTTCAAGTTCACTATTTTAGTCTGGGATGCTGTCAACAAAAATAGCATAAATTGGGCGGCTTGTAAACAACAGAAATTTATTTCTCACAATTCTGAAGGCTGAAAAAGTCTCATCTCAAGGCACCAGTAGATTTGATGTCTGGTGAGAACCTGTTCCTTGTAGACAGTACCTTCTAAATTCATCATCACATAATGGAAGTGGTAAGGCAGCTCTCTGGGGCCTCTTTCAAAAGGGTTCTAATTTCATTCATGAGAACTCCATTCTCATGATCTAGTTACCTTCCAAAGTTGCCACCTCTTAATACAATCACCTTGCGGTTTAGGTTTTAACATATTAATTTTGGGAAAGCACAAACATTCAAAAAATAGCATTCACTGTTCTTTTCTACTATAATGTCTGATGTGCAGATAATTTTTAAATTTCATATATATTTATATCTCTAGAAATTTTATTTAAGGCTTTTTTGTGTCTTTCATTTCTTACTTTGTCATATTCATGTTTTTCTCAACTTTCTTGATTATCTGTAATATGCTTTTAAACACATTTTCAATATTTTTGTCTGCTAATTTATCATCTATTTCTGGATACATTTCTATTGAGTTATTTTTTCCTCTGGTAATTATATTTTACTGATTCCTTATAGGCCTGCTAATTTTTATATACTGGATATTGTGAATTTTACATTTTTGGTGATTTTTTTTTGCCAATTTTTTCCTGGAATGAAATTAAATTACTTGGAATCTGTAGCTATTATCTTGTTACTGAAGTGACACTCCTATATCTGCTGTTCCATGTTTTAGGAGATCTCTGCCACCTCATTGGTAGTAACATAAAATATTCTTAGCCTTGTGTGTGTCCTGGGAATTATTCTCCCTTATCTTTTTGGTGGCTCTTTTATTGGCCTTGAGTAGCTTCTTCACATGGATGTACAGATTAGTACACAGCCAAAGTCTCAAGGACATCTTTCTGCAAATCTCTCATATTCTCTTTCTGTGCAGCTTATTATGCCTTATTAGATCTAGCTGTTTTTGCAGCCTCAGTCTCTGATCTCTGCCTCCTCAACTAAATGAGACCATCAGTCTCTCTTTGAGTGGGAACTATCTCCAGTCACTAACACAGAACATTTGTGAAATGTATTATCTTGGTTGTTATCCTTCTTTCATATTATTCTATGTTTTCTGGTGACCAATACATGAAAATTGTTGTTTAATATATTTTGTCCAGTTTTCTAGTAATTCAAAATAGGAAATTAAATCTAGTCTCTTTACTGACTTTCTGACAACGACTGCCAGACTTCCCCAGCCCTAAGCTATAACTTCTCAGTATTCTTATTTTTAATTCCAAGACAAAAATAATTATTTATGGTATATAGAATGTCATGCATCCTAGTTGCCTACTCTTTTTACTCATTATTGCATTTAGAAACTCTATTATGTCTATAAGCAGAAGTAATTTGCTATATTTTAACATAGAAAGCTTAAAGATACTAACTTGTTATAACTGGTAACCTGTATAATATTGCATTTACTTTAAATAATAAGATGAATTTTTGCATGGAAAAATTTCAGTGTACTTTAAAAATAATTTTCTGACTTGATACTCATAAAAGCTCTGTGAACTAGATAAATGTAGAAGTGAATCATCACTATAAAGAAGCTAAGGCCAAGTAAGATTCATTAATTTTTCTCAAAGTCACATATCCTGTAAGTGATAGAGATGAGAATTAAACCCAGATCTGACCAGTATAACAATACTTTTTTTTCTAGTTTCCAAAGTTTGTAGAGCTCTATGTGTATTAGCAAAACATCTAGTAGGAGTAGAAGTGTCGTTGTGTTTTAACTTGTGTGGTGGAGTGGTAAGTACCATTTTAAGAGTAATCAGATGGTTTGTAAACAAGATTCAATCTAAATAATAATACAACCTGGAACATATATAAAACAAGCAAAACAACTTTCATATAATTAGTGTTTATTTAGTTTATGAAGCAAAAAGTACAAATAGAATTGTTCAGCTGGAGGGCATGTTGTAAATGGAGAAAAATGAGAGTTAATTTATGCCTGATCATTAAGGCAATCAAAATGCCCACTTGGAAGAACTGTCTTTTTAAAATTTCTCAGGAGATTTAGTTAAGAAATTAATTAAATGGTCTTTATCTTTTGAAAGGAGCACAAAATAAAGAGCACAGAAGTAAGAAACAATTTTTTGTATCTCCTCATTTCTAGTATAGTGTCAATGCCTTTGATATATGAATTTAATTTTCTTTTTTTCAGAAAATAATTAATATGGAGTCTAGTAATTATAATTTAATTTGAAAAAGGCATCTAATTACATAGTAAACATTTGTAGCTAGTGACATTTCTTGACCTATCTCCCTCTTGCATAGCAAAAAGGTTTTGTGTGATTCTTCCATAAAAACATAAGGTCTAAAGAGCAGATCAGGTAATCACGACTTACGTGATAAAACTGCTGGCAAAATATAATTGCCAACCATCCTTTTTTTGCAGTAAATTGGACAGCTATTATATAAAGACAGTTTATCCATCGTAAAGCCAAGGTATCCTTCTTGACTTCACAAAAATCACTGCCCAACCTCCCCAACCCCAAGTCATTACTTTCCGATAATCCTATTATTGATTTAAAGATAAAAATAATCATGCTTGTTGTGATACATTCTAGTTGCATTTTTTTTTCTCTCTCTCAGAGTTGCATTTGGAAACTGCAATGGGTTGGCCGTGGTGGATTTTATACAGAAGACAGTACTGTTAAGCATGGGGACCATTGACCTATATAGATCAAGTGACCTATACCAGCGGCAACCACGGTCTCCTCGAAAAAACAAACAGTTCATTGCAGGTAGGAGATAAAACAAGATGAGTTATGAACTTGATTTGTTCATCTGTGTTCTTACTTTTAGATTTCTTGTCTTCTGTGATGCTATTGAAATGCATGGCAAAATAAAATCAACATAATTTACAAAACCATGTAAGTAAAATAAATTGGGCAGAAACATTGTGAGAATCTTTGAAAGTGTTAGGGAAGTGTACGTTTAAACTTCAGTTTGCTATTGAAGTTAGGAAGCATTTCAAGTTTCTTAGGTTTAATTCCTAAGAAATAGAAAACGGGCCGGGCGCGGTGGCTCACGCCTGTAATCCCAGCACTTTGGGAGGCCGAGGTGGGTGGATCACGAGGTCAAGAGATCAAGACCATCCTGGCCAACATAGTGAAACCCCGTCTCTACTAAAATAAAATAAAAAAAATTAGCTGGGCGTGGTGGCGCGCGTCTGTAGTCCCAGCTGCTTGGGAGGATGAGGCAGGAGAATTGCTTGAACCCGGGAGGCAGAGGTTGCAGTGAGCGGAGATCGCGCCACTGCACTCCAGCCTGGCGCCTGGCGACAGAACAAGACTCTGTCTCAAAAAAAAAAAAAAAAGAAAGAAAGAACAGAAAATAAAAAGCCATTAAATGTACAAATGCTACAAAAATTAGGGCTCTGTAATTGAAAAAACTGCTTGCAATTGTTGTGTTAAACAGGTTAACTTTCTTCTAAACTATCTAGTCCCTTTAAAAAGATAAATTTAGGTCATTCACTACTTTTAATTTTTAAAATTGATTCCATATTGTGGCTGACACCTTTACTTGTTGAATAATGACTTGCCTTGTTGGATAATGACTCTCCTTGAGGTATTTCACAATTCAGTAAACATTTTTCATCAACATTTTTAAAGTACTATGAAAGATGGCATTTTTCTTGGCATGATCAATGAATTGATGTATTTAACTACAGACGAAAATAAACTTAAGGTTAATTAGGATTTAATGACAAACTTTGATATGCCAGTTATCCAAAGTTTTACTGAAATTTTAGTATATATACAAATAGTTGGTTTTGTAAACACTGCCGAAGTTTTGTATATTTTCTGCCCATTAACAGCCCAGTTGGTAAAAAAACAATGAGGCCAAAAGGTTGCAGATGAAAATGCTTCTATAATATTATGTGTTATTTTAGATAATCCTTTAAAGTCTTCTACTTTAGTCCAGATATGGTGGCTCATGCCCTTAATTCCAGTACTTTGGGAGACCGAGGTGAGAGGATTTCTTGAGGCCAGGAATTCAAGACCAGGCTGAATAACATAGTGTGACCTCATCTCTAATAATAATAATAATAATAATAATAATAACTTTAAATTTTTTAAATAAATAAATAAAATAAAATTTCTACTTTGTATTATTTAAAATAATCTATTGAATATTGATAACATTACTAAATATAACCATAGGAAAATATTTTATAATAAAAATAAAATGGGTACATGATGGTAGGTGTTATTTTCCAAATAGTAGGTATGTCAAATTTAACATCCAAATATGATAATAAATGAATTTCCTTTTTGGACTAATGAAACTTGTTATACTGAAACTCTCCTTGTTAACCTTTCTTTTGCAAACCTCAATCATTTCCAAATTACTAGTTTAGACCCTTTTGAGGGGCACAGAATTTCTCTTTCAGAATCTAAGGGTTTTTAGTGAGAGATCTCAACTTTTAGCAATATTTTCGTAGTGCTAGAAATTTCAAATTCTAGAGATTTTGCCTGTATCACTACCAAATTTTGTAAAGGAAGACAAAATAAAAGCAATTGTACATTCACATAACATAAGGTTCCCTCATGTTTGGGAAAGACAAGTTTGAAGTTGATGGACTCTAGGCTAGAAACGTGTTAGGAAGCAGTAGCTTATTTATAATTTAAAAATTAGTTCCTCAGTCATAATAACCATATTTCAAATGTTCAGTTTGCAATGCTAAAATATAATCAGAGAACCTGTGAATCCTATGACAATATCTAAATTACTTGCTGGATATACACAGTGGCGCAAAAAAAGTATACATTTTGACAAATTTAATACAATTGTTATCTAATTTAATTTAAACCTCTTGAACCTTAACAGTTACTACTAGAGCTTAGAATATTGATGACTTTAAAATCACGAAAAGCTGTGATGAAATTATTAAACTCGATTTGTGTTTAGTGTACAAGATGGCACAATGAGAGCTCACTTTATACTATAACAATGAAGTATTAAAGACTGAAATCTTTAGCTTTTTTTTAATTGTTGAAGGATTAAAGACATTCATTTTTATATTAATGAAATAATTTATTGATATTATTTACAAGCCAAGTAAGTGTATTTTGTAAAAACATATAAGGAAAATTTGCCACATACTTTTATAAGACATTTAAATAAGATGTAAGATTTTTAAATAACTATTAAAATTACTCCAGCACTCTCATCATTCATCTATCACCTCTTACTTTTTAATTGATTTATTTTATCAATATCTCCTCTCTAATTTAATTACCTAATCTTGCTGCAATTTCTTCATCTTGGCTGTTCTAGATTCTGGTATGATATCACTTCCTTTCACTTTAGATTTTTTTTCTCTTTCTTCTGCCTGCTGCTGATGCTGGTGTTCTGGCATGTTCCAAAGACAACTTTTGCATGCGTGGCCTGTCTAACTTTTATCCTGATTTAACGAAACGGATCCGTACTTCCTATCAGAGTAAGTTATATAAAGGTTAGGCAAATAGCATTTTTAAATCATAATGCTTGAGTTAAATCCATACATCAGTGCTCAGTAATGTGTTTCTTAAAACACATTCAACATGCATGCAAATTTTTGTTTTGTTATGATGTGCAACCTGATAATTTTAATAAAAATTATTATAGAACTATTTCAATCCATTATTGTCCTGTACCCATTCAGTCATACCCATTGTTTCAGTGTTTATTTCAAACCATGTGGACCATGTCCCACTAGTCCAAGAGTCACTGTTTTATTTTGAGGAGGAAGAGCTAAGATGTCCTTGTAAATAATAAAACTTATTACTGATACTGGTATCTGTAATAAGTCAATGCTTTCTTATTTTGGAAACCTTATGCTTTGGCCATTTTATAATACTATTCTAACCAGGGTCACAATATGTGCTTCTTTTAAATAATTACATTCCTTGAAGATAACTAAGTATTCCTAATTTCTGATGGTTTTTATAAAAATATACAAACACGTGTTTATATGGTGATATAAGGCACTCAAACATTATAAAATAGGATAATTAGGTTAAAAGTAAACAAGTAAGTAAGATCAACATTTACCATGGTAGCAAACACAGAGCTGAAGGTTTTTATAATAAGTAATTATAAAAACTGGTATAGAAAGGATAAAGAGTGAGAGTGTGTGTGACCAGATGACACTAATGATGTTATGGGTATTTATTGACATGAAAAAAAGTGTTTATCAAATGTTAATATATTCTGTTAAAAAGCAGGCTGTTTAGCAATATATACAAAATGGCCTTATAATTGTATAAAATATACATTATATACACACTTACACATACATTTTTTTTATAACCTGAAGTTCCTCAGACCTCACCAGTTCACATATATGAATGGAATCTTATCAGTAATAAAACCTAAAACTTTGTGGTTTATGCACCTAGCTTACATAAATCAGTCTCTGTGAAATCCTTAAAATGTTCCTGGGAGTGCCCAGAAGTTGAGTAATTTTTGCTCCTAAATATTCTCCAATTTTTTACTCTAGCAGAGCACCCTCTTTTGGAAATCCTTCCCACTATCTCTCTACCTGTTGCCTTGTGTGAGAACATTGGTATCTATGTTGCTTTCTGCTGCTCCTAAAGCAGAAACTTATTTGATACTATGATATTTCTTGATATCTGAAAATTTTATGAAATTTCAGTTTCTATAATAAAGTTTTATTGGAATAGAGTCATAATCATTCATTTATATATTGTCCATAAATGCTTTTACACTCAATGGCAGAGTTGAGTAGCTGCGACAGAGACTATATGGCATATAAGGCCTAAAATGTTTCCTATCCTGTTCTTTACATTAAAAGTTTGCTGATTCCTGCTCTCTGCCATTCTTTTACACCCACCCATCCTCTGCACCACATAAAGGATTTCAGCCAAAACTTTTCTGTAAATAGTCTGAGAGTGGTTTAACACATATATTCAGACTTATGAATCCCAATTTAGCCTTCTGAAGGTAAGATATCCTACCTTGTGTGTGTGTGTGTGTGTGTGTGTGTGTGTGTAGAGACAGAAAAGTTTCTGGAACATGACTTTGTGGATTTTATAGACTTCTTTTAGCTTTACAGTATATTCAGATTTTTCTATAATAAACTTGGAATTCTTCTATGTTAAGAAACTAAATTGGAAACTGAGGATCAGGAGCAGAAACAGGCTTTTAGTTCATCAGGATTCTATAGTACCAGCCATGATGTAAAGTTTTTTAAAGTTCTGAGAAATCTCAATAATATATTTTCTTATATTCCTTATATTTCTGTTGGAATTTTTAAAAAATCCCTTCATTCAGGATATACTAAAGTATAATTTCTATCAACATCTTCAAATGGATTTTCTATATTCTCCTCTTAAGCCAAATTGTTGTATCTTACTACTATTATGACTTACTCATATCATTCTCTCTCTGGAAATGCCCTGCTAAAAGTTTACTTTCTATATAAGCCTTTGCTACTGCCATCAGAGCCCTGTTGTACCAATGCCTTTATTTAAATGCTTCCAGTGTTCAGGCTTATACACAGTACAGGCTTGCCTGAACCATTTAGCCTAATTCATTTAGCCTAAATTCATTAGTATGGACTCTTACTTTTATACTTATGCTCTACCTTTCCAAATGCATGACAAGACTCTCAAGACCATATCTAAAATTCTTCATGTTCTCTGCCTCTAGCACAAGTCATAAGATCAGTAAGTAAATCATAATGTCAGTAGGATAGAGCGTGGCAGCAGGCTTTTTTTTCTCACATGAACAGCCAGGGAAACTTTTCAAATCTGACAAGTGAGAAAAGAACTGGGTACGGGGTTCACCAGGATTTTGCAAAAGAAATCACATTTTCTAAGTAGAGACCTAACATTTTAAGTCAGAAGTAAAATCAAGTCTGTAGAAGGACTTAAAGAAATCCTCCTTGTCTCTACCAGTAGGCTCCATAGGGGATCAGACAAGCCAAGGACTTAAAATCAGATTTCCTAAAACTCTTCTCTGAATGATTAATATTGCCAGCCATTTTTTTTTATTATTTTTAGTAGAGACAGGGTTTTGCCATGTTGGTCAGGCTGGTCTCAAACTCCTGGCCTCAAGTCATCCCCCACCTTGGCCTCCCAAAGTACTGAGATTACAAGCATGAGTGCCTGGCCAGGATTGATTCTTTAATCGCTCAAATGTTTATCCTACAATTGCTTTTCAAAATACATTTTATGAAAATTTGGCTTGAAGTTTATTGGAATATAATTGGATATATTTCCATAATCTCACTTTATTATAATAGAGACTGTTCAGCCTCTTCATTGTTTCCTAACTTTTAGAAAATCATATATGAATTGTTCATATTTGGGATGATAGAACCCAGTTCCATTGGTTATCTATTCTACTCTGCTAGTCAATTTGACTCACTGTTATATTATCTAATAGTGATTATAACCCTTTGAGGCAGATTGATATATATTAGTATATTTCTCTACACATGAGAAAATTGAAGTTGAAAAAAATGAAATTAGTCTCTCAAAGTCACACAGAATAAGTGGGACCCAAACTTATGCCTATCTGATACTAAAGTTGTTCCATAGTGTTTTCACTGTATAATCTTGGATCTCTAAGTGTCTTTTTTAAAAGTTTCAGGTACATTGGAAACCATGTCTATTATTCTATAATCAGGAGACACCTCAGTTTTTGCACGCTATCAATGAAATTATATCAGTGACTCGTTTACTGGTCACCTTATGAGATAGTTTGGGCTCCAAGGAGCTGACCTCCCCAAATCTTTAAATTACCAAACTGCAAAACTTTTACATCATAGAATAATAAAATTTTTTATTTGAAAGAAACTTTCAGATTTTATAGATTATGATTTTTAGAAGCAGAAAAATGCTTTGAAAAGAACAGTAGACATCTGATCAGAAGATTTACATTGTTTTACCTTTTCCATTTATTTATTAGCTACTTAATACATTTATAATCTTAAACAAGGCATTTAATCACTCTAAGTTTCTTTCTTCTAATATATAAAGTAAAAATTGCAATTTCTACCTCCCTTAGAGAGTTGTAGAACTTTTCTGGGTTAATGTTAACAAAAGTGATTCTATAAATGTTAGTTATTATAATTATTACAAAAGATGAACCAACCCACAACACAGAGAGGTTAAATAACTCCCAGAATCATAAGCAATCTATGGAATACTTAGGACTAAAACTCAGGCTGCTGCCTCATTGCCTAGTAACAGTTCTACATCTGATCATCACAGAAATTTTGCTAGTTGAAAACTGATATTATGCCATATGAATTAAGGGAAGTTTGAAAAGTAGCCTTAATATAGAGCATTGTCAGAAAGACTTGTTTGTACATCAATTTCTAGTTATGCAACAAAGGATCCTTTGGAGAATCTCAGACCTATGTTTCCTTTCTTTTCAGAGGACAGGGAATTATAACAGATTCTAAAAACACCTGAAAAATAAAGAAGAAATAAAAGAAAGGGGGATGATAGGAGAACTAGCTAAGAAAGGCAAATAAGCATTTTTAAATGAACATAAAGTCAAGAATGGAGAAGTAAACAAAAAAAATAATAGTAATAAAGAAGGGATGCTTCAAGAAACAAAAATCAGCAAAAATTATGGTAAATAATAAATGGCAAAAAATCCATTCATTCAAAGAATGTTTTTTGAGCATCTCTTGTGTCAAACATTTCTCTAGGCATTAAGTACATTTGCCTAGTGAAACACCATGAGTGAAACAATTATGGTCTTTTCATTTGATTTATAACAGATAATATACAGATAAGTAAATTTATAGATAATTGAAAAAGTGGCAATGCTGTGATAGGGAAAAATGAGATAAGGTGGACCTATTTTTAAAGTGTTGTCAGAAAAAGGCCTATCCAACATGGAAACATTTAAGTGAAGTTTTGCAAGATAAGAAAGCAATAGTCAAAGCTTTGGATTCTCACTACCAACTAAGATAAAAGGATAGAGTAACAGGTACCAGATTTAACCTCCTGCCTGAAAACCACACACACACCTCAAAATAGACAAAATAAATGAAAATGATGGTTTTTAAGACACAAGACAGCAAACAATGAAAAAAAGTGATGGGACAGATTGGAAACCTAACAATCATACCTATTTACTATCCTAAGATAATTTCTAGCCTGTAGCAAAAGGAGGGGAAGGCCAGGAGGAAACCACTCAGCTTTTTAAGCTGGGAGATGAAGATGAGAAACCAGAGAAACCAAAGCATCTACAGCTTACAAAAGAATTTCGGAGATCTACAGTGTTTCCTCCTATAGCAAAATGCTGATCAATGTATACATATGATGCAGCTACCCAGGAACAGGTAAAGAGCCATCTGAAAGGATTAAAGGAAACAGTGCCCAACACTCAAATAAAGGAAATAATGCCATTCCCACTTACCTGACTTGAAAAAGTTTATAACTCACCTCCACTTCTGTTTAACATTGTACTGGAAAT